AGTCATCGAACCGCTCTCTGGCCAATGCATGAATACCGCCCTCCTGGCTTCGTGTCTGGCCTACAGCGATGTGTTGATTTGAATGGAGGCCATTCTCTAAAGAGCGGTCCGACATCGCATTGACATCATCCATATGATTAGTCACATTCGGTGCTGAGCCTGAAGCACCACTGACAATACTTGAGGTCGATCGCTGAGCTACAATCCATAACCCCGGGAGGTTTGAGCCTCCAGAAAGATTTATGCTGCTTCCTGATGAGCTCGAAGTACGGATCATGGAGCCTTTCATACCATTATCGCCCTCTTGGACCACCGTCGGCAACTCTACATCGATAATACCATCATCCCCTCCCATGGTCGGTTCTCGCCCGTCGTCATAGACTCCTATAATGGAGTGATGGAAGGCCGCATTGTGCTCTGAATCTGGAATCGGAACGGATGGCCCACCGTTGTCACCATCCCTGGAGCCCGCCCCTCCTCCCATACCAGCATCGCCTACTTGGGATAGAAAAATTCTGAACTGGTCCTGCGCATTTACTACGGAGTGTCTTGGTCCATTTCCAAAATTAGGAAGTCCAAGCTGACTCCGTGTCTCATTCGCAATTTTGCGGTGCCGTATCATCGTACTTCGAGCAACAGGCTTTCCGACGTGATTGCACTTACACCTATACGCCGCTAGACAAATGTACTTCTTGTCACCGACCGCGGCCATGATAAATGAAAGGTAGACAGGGAGCTGTTAGTTGGGAAATAGAATCTTAAGTAGATTGTTTGCAGGGAAGTCAGAAGCAGGTGTCACCTCTTCTATGCCAGGGTGAAAAACTTAACCTGTATTCGCGGGAGTATCTCGCGTGCCTCTTCTTTCTGCGCCGTGAATTGATCCTTCATGTCCAGTTGTACGAGATTGTGGGGAATAAATCATGTCTGAGTACACGATGTACACGAAGCGAAAGATCGTCGACTACAGAATACCCGCCCTCTTTTCGCTTCGCAAAGAGCACAACGCTTTGCGTTTCGAGAAGAAAATACGTCGGGGACACAAACCGACGCGATCATTCACTCCGAGCGAATGTGATTTTGGATAGCAGACCCATCGCCAATGTCCATTGTTACAACCCCCAACTCTCACTGTCACCATTTGATTTTCACCTTTCAGCGAAATGCAGGCAGATCTGCATGAGGGGCTCCTGCCTGACTCGGATGTCCGCAAACGCATTGCTGAGCTCCTGCCACGGCTTCGCCCGACGGGTCTTTTTCCGAATGATGCGAACGTTGCCCGTCCTCCCCCCCTCCCTGAAAGCATCGCAAAACGAACGAACACAAAGAAAGATAAGCGAAACCCCACAGTGCCAAAAGGGAAAGATACCAAGGCTTACTTCAATACTATCCGAGAAGTAGGGAACCATGTCCGTGACCACAATGAACTTCACGCCAATAATCCGAAAATGCAGTATCGTTGGTATGGCCCTGAGGTTGATGACAAAGAACGGACGGAGACGTTAATGCGTATTGTGGACGATTTGGCTCCAGGAATTCTAGGGAAAATGTATGGTGCAACGACTTACGACAAGATTCATCGCTCGAAGCCACATCATCTGCAACTGCTCGTTCTTGAATGCTCTTTAGATCCAAACTTCGACCCTCTGACGCAGGGCGTTCGCAACTTCCCAACTCGCAAGGTTGTCGGTACGAAGCTGACATCCAAACGAAAGGTATGCCTTGAGGCGGTAAAACGGGAGGCTCGCAAAGGTCGTGAGGATTCAATCATATTAGAAGAATTGGGCGGAAGCAGCCGTGGATCACCTGTGGAATGTGGTTATTCGACAAACATCGATGGGTCAATGAACATTGAACGAGAATGGAACACAAGAAATGGTACAGCCGTATCCGTGGTTGATGATCTCCCGAGAGATGTTGTTCAACAGTACATGCCGGATCGCGCCGATGATGACAAGTTGGGGCCAGCAGACATACATACTCGCGCAGTTACCTTCACTGACACGCCTGTCCCGTTTTATCACACTCGCAATACAGATCTGGAGACCCGAAGAATTGTTCAGAATGATGGTGTAGATTCCAGATTAGAAGATAGGAGGCATATGAATCCAAATACGTATGATGCCGCCGCAGATGATATCGGGATACGGGGTACTCTGAATGTCGAAGTTGCGAACGCACCTAATTCGGGAAGGCCCAAGACGGCAGTTCAGAGCGAAGGAGAAGAACACGCCTCATACAAAGACATATCGCATCGCCGATCATGTTCCAAGGCTTCGCTCCATGCATCTCTAGCGTCTCGTGTGCGCGCAAACCCCCTCGTAAGAGGCAAGGGGAAGAAAGGTGACATATCCAAAAGCAGAGTTCATCGAGACCGTGTGCGAAGCACCCAACGGAACAACGGAAGTAATTACGTTGATAGAGCTGCAGGTCAGTCCTCCGCAAGTCCCAAAAAGAAGCACAGTTCATCTGCAAAACGAACGAAAGAGGCGGGCAAGGATCATGAAGAAGATGATGAGAGCACATCTTTTGCTGAATACATTGCCTGGAAGGCTTCCCAGAAGGCGAAAGGTCGTACGCATGCCGGCACGGCCGCCACGAGGCGCAATACGAGTTCCAAGTTGCAGAGGAAGAAATCGCGCTCTTATGAAGAGTTACATACGTCTGAGGATTCGGTTTAGCGCGTTCCTCAACTGACGGAGAATGCCAAAAAATGTGAACGCACCCGTGAACTTGATCAATACTCGTTGGGAAACATTTGCAAGTGGTGTAGAAACTTGAGACGAGACTTTACCATCTGATCTTGTTGAGATGGCATACGAAATTTCCCTGCCTGGCCCTGCTAGTTAGTTGATGCTGGGGGCACCAATAGGATTAGTGAATGAATGAAACAGTTTCCTTACGGAAGGCAAATCCCAATTGTCAAAGCAGGGAAGGTTAGTAAAGGTAGCAATGATATTACCGAAAGCGACGTCCACCGTAAAAGGGCAGTGTTCATGCATGGAGGAGCGGGGTGTACAGTAATTAAGACTAGTGCAAGAGGCGCAAGCCAGGGGGGGGGCGGTTCACAAAAAATCTCGGCGCGGCGCGACGGAGATACAGGATCTGCCGCGGGGCGACGGGGGAGCCGAGGCCGGCCGAACTAACATGCAATCCGGCGGGGCGTGTGTAGCCGCCAGCGTCGCCCGGCCGCGTCGAGCGGTAAGGAACCGGCGCTGTCTGCGCGGGACGCCGCGCGGGCAGCGCGGCGCGTGTCGTCCCCCCGGTGGGGTGGAAAGCGTCACGCGCGTGACGGCGTTCCAGCGGGGGGAATCTTGGGGGGCGCGCGCGGCTTCATACATGGGCTGGCCAGTGCCCGGCGCTGCGCGCGGCAGCG